GTAGAAGCTGAGAAAAGTGAGAGCAGTGTTTGTGCTGGAGAGCTCATTTTGGGGGGAGGGGAGAATCTTGGTGAAGTTCGGGTCTCTGAGCCTTTGTACTTGCAGGGTTTGGATTTCTAAGGGGCTAAGAAATTCATTCCCAAAGTAACAGCTTAAGTAAGGGTGAGGGGATAGAATAGGGGTGGGCAAACTTCTTGGCATCTGGGTATGGAAACTGTATTGGGGGGGGGCAATAATGCTCACAAAACTGAGGGTTGGGGGGGATGCAGGTTCTGGGGTGGGGTTGGGGGAGCAGGAGGGTGCTCTGGACTGGGACCAAGGGGGTCAGAGGGCGGGAGGGGGATCAGGGCTGGGGGTGGGGCATGGGAGGGAATTGGGGGGCAGGCTCTGGACAGCACTTCAAGCAGCTCCCAGAAACACTGGCATGTCCCCCCTCCAGCTCCTACATGGAGGCGAGGCCAGGTGGCTCTGTGCACTGCCCTCGCTGCAGGGGCAGTGCTTGGGGTGGGGGCAGTGTGCTGAGCCCCCTGGCTGCCCCTAGGCATAAGAGCCAGAGGGGGGGATGAGCCACTGCTTCTGGGAGCCATGCAGAGTGGGGCAAGACCCTGACCCTGCTCCCTGTCTGGAGCGCCAGAGCGGGGCAAGTCCCAGACCCCACTTCCTGGCAGGAGCTCGAGGGCTGAATTAAAATGTCTAGAGGGCCAGCTTTGGCCCCCGGGCTGTAGTTTACCCACCTCTGGGATAGAGGTATGAGATAAAGACAAACATTCCCCCAAAGATTACAAATGGGTAGGGAGAAAGCATGCACATTTTTATTATATTCCCACACCCTAAATGCTACTGTCTTTCAAAGGCTTTACATAAACAACCTAGGGAGCTATGCTGATATATACCCCTTCAGAGTGGGACATGTTGGTTATCCTCATCTTCTCAGTTCTTGGACAGCCTTTCTCTCTAAAATTAAACACTGACTAGAATGAGGGTCAGTGGGGCACACGAGGGAATGAGTGATCTGTGCACCCACAAAAATAAACTGCAACTGGAGGAGGGGAACATAAGCATGTAAACAAGTGAAATGGAGCTGGCTAAGGAAATGTGTAATTCCCCCTGAGAACTCACTAGAGGCACTGTCCTTACACCTGCCGAGCCAGGCCTTTCTCTCTCTTCCCTGTAAACAATTCCTGAATAAGAGAAGAGTGCCTGGGAGGTGGAATGAATACTGAGCAGAGTGTGCAGAATGCAGCATAGCACAGGGCTATTTTCACTGAATGTGTCTGTTGCAATGTGAAACAGGCATTGAATAACCGTGAGAGTCTTGAAAACAGAGATTGGGGAGAATCTCTTCTGGAATTTCCCCAGGGGGAAGAAATCCACTAACAAATACCAGGTGATGCATGAAGAGGTTTTTAATACCCTGGAATCTTCTGATCACTCTAATTAAACACCAGGACTCTTGAAATCTAGAAAACAATGAGATTTAAAATAGATTGAAGTGGGGGAGGGTTATTTGCATCAATAAACTGAGCTTATTTGCAATGTACTACTTGTCTATTTCAGAGAAACTTTAGCTATCCAAGCTAGTATTTTCCTGATGCACCCTCACTGCAGACCTGAGAAAAAGAGACTTGAATATAACCCGGGTCCAATGCACCTTTAATTACAAACACCCCCCATTTGCTGGGTTGATCTTTCTGCTGCAGTCTCCCGAGTCCAGTTCTGCAGCAGGAATGCTGGCTCAGGCGTGGACTGACATGATCTCTTCCCAACATCTGACACTTAATCTATTTTTTTCAAATGACCAAATCTGACCTGCCCTCTATTCTAGTACAACGTGCCAGTTTATCTGTCTATGGTTTGAGTCAGGAGTGAAACAGGTCATTCAGCATCAGCTTCTGAAAAGTGGATGTGAAGAGCAACAATGCATGCGCAGGATGAGGAGTGAAATGGAGCTGTTAGAAAGGAGTAGGAAACAAACATCAAAGGAGAATTGAGGCAATGCAGTCATAGCCTCACTACCTCTCTTTCATGGCTGATAGCAGGTATTAGTACCTGCTTAACCCATAATAGCAGGGTGGGGATCTTTCTGTAATGACTGCACTGCATAAGAGCTTTGATTGGCTACTGCTGGCCGCTGGCTATTTGTACTGCTTAGCTATAGCACTACAGGCTTGTGCTTTTAGTGCTGAAAGGCCTGGGTTCAAATCCTGTTATCAAGCCAGCTGGTTACAGGTATGCTGGATTTAATACATCCCTTTGGTTTTTGTATCTAACATTTAAACCTGGGCTTTCTAGGCTCCAGGAAATTGCATGTTGGGAGACAGGAGGAGAGGTCCGGTCTGGGGCCATGTCCCTTGACTCTTCCTCCAAAATGCTAAAAGAAACATGTGTACCTATTTCTCACTTAAGGTGATGGGGAGAGTATATAGACATCAGCCTTGGGACTAACTCTGGGGAAGTAACATGCTTTTATTGCCCTCTCTGAGCTGATGTGCAAAATACTTGGCTCTCCGTATAAATGCTGCCATCCCTTTTCCAAGGAGGAATTCAGCTGTTAAGGGGGATACACTACCCGTGAATTGACACAGCTCCATAGACTTCAGTGACACTATCCCACTTTGTACCCATGGAGGATCTGGTCCACTCTGACTACAGCTAGCGTTAGGGATGTGCAGTGCCATTCTACCTGCCACCACCTTGCTGATGGTGCCCCCTTGGTGCCCAAAGAGCTGGGAGCAGTGGCAATCAGATTTCCTCTTTGAACTAGGTAGAAGCTGAGAAAAGTGAGAGCAGTGTGTGTGCTGGAGAGCTCATTTTGGGGGGAGGGGAGAATCTTGGTGAAGTTCGGGTCTCTGAGCCTTTGTACTTGCAGGGTTTGGATTTCTAAGGGGCTAAGAAATTCATTCACCTCCCCCCCCACATTCTGAGATTATGCTAAGGCAGGGGTGGGCAAACCTCAGTCCAGGGGCCACATCCAGCCCTTCAGACATTTTAATCCGGCCCTCCAGCTCCTGATGGGGAGCGGGGTCTGGGGCTTGCCCCACTCCACACGTGCTGTGGCTCTGCACGGCTCCCGGAAGCAGCGGCATGTCCCTGCTCCAGCTCTTATGCATAGGGGCAGCCAGGGGGCTCCGCACGTTGCCTCCGCCCCAAGTGCTGCCCCCGCAGCTCCCACTGGCTGGGAACTGGCCACCTGGATGCACCTCCATGTAGGAGCCAGAGGGGGGACATGCCGCTGCTTCTGGGAGCTGCTTGAGGTAAGTGCCACCCAGAGCCTGCACCCCTGACCGCCCCTACACCCCAACCCCCTGCCCCAGCCCTGATCTCCCTCCTACCTCCTGAACCCCTCGGGCGTAGCCCAGAGCACCCTCCTGCACCCCCAACCCCTCAGCCCAAGCTTGCACCCCTAGCTGAAGCCCCAACACGCTGCCCCAGCCCGAAGCCCCCTCCTGCACCCTGAACTCATTTCTAGCTGCCCCCCCAGAGCCTGCATCCCCAGATGAAGCCCTCACTCCCTCCTGCACCCCAACCCCCAATTTTATGAGCATTCATGGCCCACCGTACAATTTCCATACCCAGATGTGGCCCTTGGGCCAAAAAGTTTGCCCACCCTTGTTCTAAGGCAATTCAGGGAGCAGCCCCACTGCCTCTTGTGACAGGGAGAGGAGGCAAATTGAATGCAAATGGCGCACTGCTGTGATAGCTGCAGTGGCCTCTGAATCCTGATTCTTATGAATGTGCTGGAAAGTGAGGAGGGCAGAGCAGAAGAGGGAGAAGATTCCATTTGCAGGATGGAAAAATACTGGCCAGCCCTTCTAGCAGGCCATCCCGACCGCTGTGCGCTTCCCTGCCATCCCCAGTCCTAGGATGTCAGCCGCCCTGAACTCCATTTCCCCCTCCTCCCTGCGGAGCCAGGAGCCGAAATTAAAATTAAGGTGCTCAAAGCTCTGTTTTTGTATAGGCCGGGGGGGAAAGCTGGGTACTGGGCTGGCGCCCCCTACCCCTGCCCAGTAAACCTTTGGGTGTCCTAGTCAAGACAGCTTTCCCCTCTCTGCCCTGTTGAGCGAGCGCGGCTTGTTTTTGTGCATGCAGTTATATAAAGAAAGGGCAGCTGTTAACATAAACACTTGGGATAGCAGGGAGAGTTGATCCTGTCCCCACTTTCCAAGAACCGTTAGAGGGGGGAAAACAACCCCCTCCCCCTGCTTTCTAAACCCGGCTTGGCCTTTCCCTCCCCAGAAGCATCTAGTGAGTGGGGAGAGCTCTTGCTTGCCAGAAAAGAGCGGCCCAGGGAGTGTAAGCAGACAGCCGGAGATCCGCAATGCTGGGAATCCAGTGGGAGAAGGGGGGGAAGCTAACTTCACCCTAAACAGAGTTTTACTGTTACCGGAATTACAGTGCAAACCCAGAGCCGCACCTTCCTCGGGCGGCAGCGCCAGCAGAGTCCCAGAGCCGCTGTCTCTGGGGTGCTTCCTTTGTTTTGAAACGGGGAACAGAGAGAACCGGCCCACACCGCTCTCGGGATCGACTCGCAGGGCTCCGGCAGAGGGGGCCAGGGCATGCACAAAGGAGCCAGTGTGCGGCTTCAGGAGCAGGCAATTCATTCTCCGCCTGCTGCTGCACTGAGCTTGTTTTCCTCTCCCTGCTGGAGAAGGCGGGGTCCCCCGGCCCAGCAGGAGCTCGCTCTTGTTTTCCCCTTTCCCCGCTCCCCCCTGCCAGCCCAGTCCAGCCCAGCCCAGCCCCGCTCTCCTCTGTCCCTCCCTCCCGCCCCCTCGCCCTGTCTTCGCTGGCCCAATGGCTGGGATCCACGGGCCGCCCATCAGCTGATCGTGTCGTGCTCATGTCTTGAGGAAGCCAATCGGACAGCCCGGGGGCCGGCACGGGCAGCCGATAAATGGGCGAGCAGGGAACTGGCTTCTCCAGAGCCGAGCATGGGAGCACCTCGGGGGAAAGTGAGTACTCGCCCATCAGTCCACCTAGCCTGCCTCTCCTCTGCATCTCCTCTCCCTGCTCAGTAGCCAAGGTAACTGCTTCTGTTCCCACGGGGCGGGGGTGATGGCAAATCTCTGCCCGTTCTCTCCCATGCATTGGGTGGCTTTGCGCGGGGACGTGTACTGGGAATGTGTCGCCCCGCGTATGGGATTGGGGGTGCTCCAGGCTGCTTTGATGCTGTTCACAGGCAGTGGGGTGGGCTAGGAGGACGCTTTGCTTAATGTGGCGTTGTTGGGTTTTGCTGCTTTCCCTTAGAAGATGGCCCTGCCCCTGCTCCTCTTAAATCAATGCACCCTAAGTCTGGCAGGCTGTTTGTACAGCGCCAGAGAAATCCCGCAGGGCCGGGTCCCATACGGGGCTCGGCTCGGCTCGGGTCTGCAAGGCTGTATTACAAGGTGACTTTGCGGATGGATCTTGTCTTTTCCTGAAATGCCTCTCCGTGTGTTTCCCTATTTCATTGTCTTGCTTCCAGTCAGTCTCCGATTCCTCGAGCAGGGAGATTCCTGCCTTGATGACAAAGGGACGGCTGGGTGTGTGGTACCTTTATTCCTGATGGTGTCTGGGGCGGGTACGCCGGCATAGCTCCCCTTTCTAGGCCGCTGTGTTTGGCTGCTTTATGTCTCCGAAGCAGCCACTCCAGGGGGCAGCTCCGATTTAGCTCTGTAAAGGGGAGGGGAAACTAGGTCGCTCAAGATCTTCTAAGGGGCTTTTCTTTGCTGGAGCTTTCTGGGACAGAAGATCTCCTCACCGTTGCTCTGCACAAAGCTCCTTAGCAGTTTCCTTAAAAAAACGGGAGTGCAGGCTCCTAAGGAAGGAGAACAGGGGAGGAGGGATTTGCATGAAGAGAGAAACAGCCATAGATCAAATTTCTTCGCTGACCATAAAGAGAAGCCGTGGGGGGCAGCAGTGGGTCCTTCAGTTGGAAGCTTTTACAGGCCCAAACCTGGACTGCCACTGTAGAGGCATGAAATCAAATGGGCAATAAATGCAGTGACAGCAAGGGGGATGCAGAGAGGGAAGGGGAATCCAGGGAGGTTTGTATCATGGGGGGTGGTCTGCCTTCTGGCCAGTTGTAGGGGAGAAGCAGGCTGGTTCTGAGACCCCAGCTGTTTCCAGGCTCGAGTCACCGCAGTGCTGCTTTTATTGCCAAGAAATAAATAAAGGCAGGGAAGGGGCTGAACAAAATCTTGTCTGTGCCGGTCAGAGGGGTGGCTGCTTCTGAGAGTACCAGAGAGGGCTCGACTTGGGGGGGGGGGCGCTGCTGGGAAGGCTGGGATAGGGTTGGCAAGGGCCAGCAGGGCTCCATGACCCCCGGCACAGCTGCTGGTGTGACAGAGGCAAATCTGCATTCCTCATATGGGACAAGGGAGTACAAGTGTCTTCAGTCAAAGCAGCTACTTCTCAGAGTCAGGGGCTTTTGCCCCAAGTATGCAGAGCCAGGGGGATGTAAAAGATCCCCAGTGACCTCCAGTTGCATCCTCTGAATCTGCTACAGCTCTCCCTGTATGTGAGCAGGGCTCCATGGCGGAGAGGCCTCTTGAGTCTCTGCTGTTCAAAGGTTACTTACTTTGCCTTGGGCTGTAGTTAGGGGCCCCTCTCATCTTACTTAGCTAACAGTATTGTATATCTTCAGATCACATGGTCTGGAAATGGAGCTGTCTCTGGCAAATGGTCCTTACTGGAATGGGGAAGGACCACAGAAGGCCCTGTCTAAGCCAAAGTGGGCAAAAACGCTGGTCCAGGGCAATGTATGTTCTGAAATTGCATTTTTGTGAGTGAAGAGTTCACAGTGGAGTCAAGGAGCCCTTCTGAGGGGCTGCTGATCTCTTAATGATCATAATAGCTAGAGAGGGAAAAGACCAAGTCCATCAGCTGCCAGGGCAGGACCCAACCCCTCAGTAGTTGAGATCTCAGATATCCTGAGACCACAGGAAATCTTTGAAACCAAATGATTGTTGTAGCTGGTCCCAAACCATGTTATTGAACTGCCGTATTGATACACTGTCTGTTTCCTATAGTGTAATCTACTGTATTCAGATTCACAACTGGTGTAATCAGCTATGATGCAGTCTGGGATATTCCAGCATAACTGTCTAGGGGACACTCAGTGCATGCATCTCTCTTCTGTTGCTGAGCTGTGAAGATCTCCCACTTGGTCATTCTCTCGTATAAGGGTGTGAGAACCCATTCGGAACACAGAAATATTCATGGTTGGCTTTTCCCTCCCCTCCTGGCAGGACCCCAGTAACGCACCCCGCAGCCATGGCCACCTCAGCGAGTTCCCACCTGAGCAAAGCTATAAAGCAGATGTACATGAAGCTGCCTCAGGGTGAAAAGGTGCAAGCTATGTACATCTGGATTGATGGGACTGGGGAGCACCTGCGCTGTAAAACCCGGACGCTGGACCAAGAGCCCAAGAGCATTGAAGGTAAGAGGGCAGGTGTATGGGTGAATGCTGGGACTACAAGCAGTTGCACCCAGTGGGTTTGCAGCAATATAGGACTTGGCTTGGGTTCAAGCATCTGACCACAGAGCTGTAAAACGCTGCTGTGCTGTGGGAAGGCAAAGCTCCTTCTCTTTGAGTTGGGAGTGGGGGTGTCTCTCCCACATGGGGGAAATCTGGACCAGAGACAGTCAGTGCATTCCCACCCTTGAGTTCTTTGTATCGAGTGCATGATGTGGGATAGCTCCCACCTCGCTCCTGGTGTGTGTTTGGGAAAGTGGACAGGCTGAGCGAGATGCACTTCGTAATCTCCTGATGTGGAAGGAGATCTGGAAGACCACTCTTCTCCTTGTGGGGCAGAGGTGTAAATAGAGCCGGGAATCGGTGACGTGTCCCCCATCTGCGCTAAAGGGGTGTCCATCTGCAGGGTATTCCCAGCCTGCTGGCTCTTTACCTGTAAAGCTCTTCTGGCCCTGGGGAGATGGCAGGAAGGAAACGATGGGAAGATAATATATCCAGTGTAATTAAGAGCTTGTGTGTCTCGGAACAAACAGCCCCAACTGACATGATAATAGCATTCAGATTTCTTCACTTGTTGCCATGGCACTGGCCAGGACAGTTATAAAACCAAAGTACTGTGCATGAGCAATCAGAATGATCTCCCTGCCTCACTGAGGAAGTGGCTGGCACAGCTTGTTTGGCACCCATAGCACATGGAAGGGGATAACAATGGGGGCAGAGTTAATTTCTTCACAGCTGCTTCACATGTGCTCGCACTGCAAAAGCAGTATTCAGTGGGGGCCCTGAGCCATGCTCAACTGGAGGGGCATAGGTAGTGTAAAGGGGATGTTCTCTCCCCACAATCACTGGACTATCCAATTGATGATATTCCCCCTTCAGGCAGCTCTAGGCCTTGTGCATTCTCCCAAGGTTCCCTTCACCAGGTCTGTGCAGTTGCATCAATGTGGAGGAGCTGTTTCAGGGCCGTCCAGCAGTCTGGAGACAACTGAGGACACCGGAATCCCTCTCTCATTCCTTTTGACTTGTAGCATCTCCCTGATTCCCTTTGTTTTGGCTAGGGAAACCCATCGGGGTCTTCATCTTACCATAGCGTGTTGGCTACAAGATAGGAAGTGTTCATCAAGGACGTCTGCAGTGCAGTTAGCTGAATCGGACTTCGCTGATGTCCCAGCTTTTTGTTTTTCCACAGGGTAGCAAAGAGCAATTCCCTCACCCCATCTTTCAATGGGAGCAAAATCAACAAAGTGCAGTGTGTGCCAGTGTCCTTTAACAAGCAATCTTTTTTGCACAATGGTCGTGCTGAATCGGCTGGTGAACTCATCTTGGTGGTTATGGAAAGCTGCTAACCTAAAGGGGTGAATTTTTCTCTCTTGCTCTAGATCTACCTGAGTGGAACTTTGACGGCTCTAGCACCTTCCAGTCTGAGGGTTCAAACAGTGACATGTACCTTCTCCCTGCTGCCATGTTCCGGGACCCTTTCCGCAAGGACCCCAACAAGCTGGTTCTTTGTGAGGTCTTCAAGTACAACCACAAGTCAGCAGGTATGGTGCAGTGCCTCCCCCGAGAGTGGCTGCAGTAGTTCTGGGAGGGGTGAGAAGGCTTGCTCCCTCTTGGAGTAGAGGAGGGTGGGTGGAGGGGTAACTGTCAGAACAGTAGTTAATGGAAGACTATACCAAGCACCATTAATGCATTAACACTGTACAAGACATACAAATATTCCTGCCCTGAAGAGCTTGGCTATAAAGAAAACAAGATACAGTAGGCAACACCAAGGGACAAAGTAGCTTAGATGTTTATCTATTCTGGTCTAGCCTCTCTTGTCACTGGCAACACGGAGATGGAGGAGTATGACATAGGTCAGTGCTTGGGAATATTGAAGGAATCGTCAAGAGGAACTCCAACGCTGGGAGGGATGTGGGGACTGGGAAATCATTCTATGGGGCAGCATGGAAGGGAGTGGGGAAAGAAGTGAATTGGGTGGTATCACTGATTGATGGGAATAATGTGAACCTGAAGGAACAAAACCTCTGACATGTGAGATGTAGGCCTGGTCATGGACGAGTAGCTTCTGTGCACATGATTGCCAGCATATGGTTCAAGAGACTAAGAACATTATGGAACAGTACAAGGAAGTCCATAATATGGCATCAACAACCAATAGGGCACCCACTATTTAAGGCCAGCAGCCCTACCTACCACTTAGATCGTATATTGGCTAATGATGATGGTCACAGGGCAGTCTCTTTGGGTCTGAATTTCTGGGCTTCCCTAGAGGTCTGGGTGGGGAAATGAGTCCCCCAGACAGCCTGTATGGTAGTGGCTTTGTCCAGAATACATTGGCAAGTCATAGCTTCCATGGAGGGATAAGAATCTGAGCTGTTCCACCAGAGCAGCTCACCAGACTCCTTTTTTTTACCAGTAGCTAGAAGCTACTCGTCCATGACCAGGCTACATCTCACATGTCGGAGGTTTTTGTTTGTGTCTAAAACATTGGTGAGCTAATAAGCTTTGTGCTTTTCTTCCATTCTAGAGTCAAACCTCCGGCACACCTGTAAACGGATTATGGATATGGTGTCCAACCAGATCCCCTGGTTTGGGATGGAGCAGGAATACACTCTTCTTGGGACAGATGGACATCCATTTGGCTGGCCTTCCAATGGCTTCCCTGGGCCCCAGGGTAAGCTTCCAGGAGTTAATATCTGAACTAGGAATAAGAGATCTCATGAATACTTAACCCCAAATCATAATGTTATCAATCACTAATAAATGGGATTAATTGGAAATGTTTAAAGTGAGACGAAAGATTCAAGGAGTTGCTAAAACTTGATCACCAAAAGCTATGCTGACAATGACCAAAACTAAACAATGAAAAGAAGAACAGGAGGACTTGTGGCACCTTAGAGACTAACAAATTTAGTGGCTGTATGGTAATCTTATGACATAGACCAGACACATATCCAGTGTTAATTCCATTAGTCTGCAATTCATTTAAATATGACCAGTTGGGCAGGGTTTTCAGAAGTAGGAGCTCAAGTCCCACTGACTGACTGGAGTCACACTCTGGAGGTACTTTGTTCTACTATTACCCCAAATGAAAGCAGTATAGAGACTTTCCTGCGATCTGTGCCTTCTGGGAACCCTTTCCTAACTACTCTGTGCTCTTCACTGCACTCAATCACAAGCTATTTGAAGACTATGTTCACCTTTCTTGTGCTCTGTGCTACTGCAGGTCCATATTACTGCGGCGTAGGAGCAGACAAGGCCTATGGCAGAGACATTGTGGAAGCGCATTATCGTGCATGTCTCTATGCTGGTGTTAAAATTGGAGGAACAAATGCAGAAGTGATGCCTGCACAGGTAACTACTTTGGCTTCACCTGCCATTGCAGTCAGCTGGCACCAGCCAATGATGCAATGCAGAAGCTCAGGCTGCTAAACTCTGCCGCTGCAGTCAGTATGTACCCTGGGGCTTTGCAAATGTTGAGAGTGCAGGAGGGTGCAGAGGGGTGAACAGCATCTTGCAGCAAATAGTTCTTCACCAGACTGAGCCAATGGTTCGTTTTTTTTTTCCTCTCTGCTCTCTGTAGTGGGAATTCCAGGTGGGCCCGTGCGAAGGGATTGAGATGGGGGATCACCTCTGGATTGCACGCTTCATCCTACATCGGGTGTGTGAAGACTTTGGGGTAATCGTGTCCTTCGATCCCAAACCCATCTCTGGGAATTGGAATGGAGCCGGTTGCCACACCAACTTCAGCACCAAGTCCATGAGGGAGGAAGGAGGCCTCAAGTAAGTTTCTCTGCAACTGGGCTAGTTGCATCAGTCTGGCAAACTCAGCTAGGGAAAGTGGAGTTTACCAACAGCAGCAAGACTTCTACAGAGCTGAGACTGCACCTGAGGCACTAGTTAGCTTGCCAGGGGAATAGTGACATGTCTTGCTCCATGCAAAAGATTTTTGGCTTGAATACCCCCCAGAGATTCTAGATTTATTTTATTTTTTTTAATTACCTGGAACTGAACTCCCTTCCCACTGTAGCTGTTGCACCCAGAGGTTATCTGCACTGAAGATTGAGGAAATTCCCCCAGTAGTGGTCTAACACTGGTACAGTTCCACCAGCACTAGTAATGGTGGAAGTGCTAATAGACAAGGGACAGCTGTTCTTACCACTGTCTAACACTGGATTACCCACCTCTGTAAAAAGGCCTGTACTCCGTCTATAGTAGGAGTTTATCTCGTGCTAGACCAAAGGAGGGAGAATTTGCCTCACTGTAAACAAGGCCAAATATTAAAAGTAGATTCAGATTGGACTATTCTTAGACCATTGACTTACAGATTCCACTGTACTTGAGAGTCTGGGACTTTGTTTTTCAGGGACTAGATTGTACTTTTCAAGTACAATGTAATTCTGTTAAGGATCCACTTGGCCATTTCTCTGCCCACACCTCCCCCGTAACTTCAATGGGTGCATTCAGATTATCACTACACTTGCAGAACTCATAAGCTTCCGAAATAATAAAACGTGTCGAAGCACAACCTGTGTCTTCCCAAGGATAAATTTACCAGGCATATTTAGTGGCAATGCAACTCAGCCAAATTATTGGTTCTAACTGGTACCCCCACAAGCTGTAATGTTCTTTCCCTCCAGTCAGTGAGAGTCTTACCTGCCTTTGGGATCCCCCCCAAAAATTCTGAGAGCCTCACTGGTCAGAATAGGCAAGGATGGGAAAACACCCAGCCCCACATGCAGGGGAACTAGCTGTAGGAAAGTAGGATTTGAACCATGTAACCAAGTGATACAGTGGATTCAGTTTCCCAAAGAAACTCACTATCAATGAGAGGAAGGGTCCCATGGCTGGTACTAGCTGGAATGGGAATGCTTGCAGATAAGGGACTGAAACATGGGATTTGTGTGCTTGGGTGGGGTATGGGAGAAAGCCAAGTGGGTGAGTTCCTGCCAACATTATCCATGGCCAAGTGAACAGCAGCACAGCCAGTGTTCTTGCCAAAGGCTCACAACCTCCCGCCTTCTGTCTCCAGGTATATAGAAGAGGCCATTGAGAAGCTCAGCAAACGGCACCAGTACCATATCCGCGCTTACGACCCAAAAGGGGGGCTGGACAACGCCAGGCGCCTGACAGGCTTCCACGAGACATCCAGCATCCACGAATTCTCTGCTGGCGTGGCCAACCGTGGGGCCAGTATCCGTATCCCCAGAAATGTGGGCCAAGAAAAGCAGGGCTACTTCGAGGACCGCCGGCCCTCTGCCAACTGCGACCCTTATGCTGTGACGGAGGCACTAATCCGTACATGTCTTCTCAGCGAAACCGGGGATGAGCCCTTTGAGTACAAGAACTAAGTGGACTGCCCCCTGAGAGACACCGCCTACCCCCAAATGTCCCTTCTAGATGTAATTTTGAGGGCACAAGTTACCACTTTGTTTGTGTCCCAGTAACTCTTGTTGTGTTGGGGGGAGGGAGCATTTAGTTCTTGTTGATGTCTCATTGTTGATGCTTGAGAGGAGGAGTGTGCGTTAGAGAAGAATTTTAACCACTGTTTTGTCTAATTCATCTGTATGTCTGACAGGACCCAGTGGCTTCCATGGACACAGGGTGATAGGCTGAAGGAAGGTGGATGGACAAGAGGCTGTAGTGGGTTTTGCCCAAGAGAGTCTAACTCCCATGATAACGACATACATAACTCAGCTCTCCATAGACCAATTGTCCTCGGATTAGAGTTATTCGGGGGAGAAAGGAGTAAAGCAGCTATGATAGATTCTGACCCCTTTGCACACTTACACATGGTGGGAAATTTCCCTTCTCTGGCTTTGATAAGACTCTTGGGCATCTTCTTGCATTCTGCTGTCCCAGCTAAATGTGGAAGCTGGTAGCAAAATTCCTCCTTGCTCTGTCATTGGAAGCCACTCGATCTCCTGTGTATAACACAGAGTGAAGTAGTATTTTTTTATATTTAAATGTAAAAACAAAAAAAACTATATATAAATTTTTTTTAAAAAAAAAGACGTTCCAATAACTCAGCCAGCTAGAGCAGGCGGGTTCCTGAAGGTACTGTTGGAGGTGGAACTCCAGTGTGGGCTAGAGCAGAGGGTAGAATGGGGGGTGGGAGGGGGTCCAGGAGGGAAGTTGACTGACTTTTTTTTTTTTTTTTTTAACTTTTGAAGTGTGGCTTTGCCATTCTTGGCAGGGCATTGGTTCAGCACTTGGAACTAGCAGTAACGATCATAACTTAAACTCGAGCTGATGCGGGCGCGTGGCGTGGCTGAAACACAAGAAGATGCTCTAAATTATGAGTTGGCTGGTCAACTTAACTGTGTTAGCGATGGGGTCATGGGTGTTTTATTTTCCAGTGGGATTAGCATGTCACTAAAGCAGGGCTTTTGATAAAAAGAAACAAGTTTTAGATTTTAATAATGTTTTTAGTGTTTCTAAAGTTGTACAGTTTTACAGAGACCATTGGTGTTAACTGTTGATATGTCCAGGCACGCAAACTGCCTGCCACCTAGCCAGGACTACACTAATGAGGGGGCTCTGTGCCCCCTGCCCTCCCCCCCCAGGCTGCCCCTAAGTTCTCTCAGGGGAATGCCTAGTGGGTTCAAACGTTCTGAGATTTTTGGATGGTGCCAATATATGTCATTGCATTTGGATTTACGAATAGTTTCTTTTATAATAACAAAAAACCTTAATTCTGACTTCTTTCTCTCTCTGGTTTTATTCCTCTGAAATGTCATGGCGTGGGCTCTTAGCTATCTGGAGGGATTTCAGCCTGGATTTTCTCTCTCTCCTGGGATAAAATGGGGAATCCTAGACACACATGTTCATTCTCTGGGCACAATGCCATTGTTGGCCTGGAGGAACTCTTGGGATTAGGGTTGCCAGTTTTGGTCAGATGTAGGTTTCATTGCATGACATAATCTTTAATTCCTGGAGACTCCTGGACAATCCAAGTAGGGGTGCCAACCCACCATCGATGAGCTGGGGAACTCAGACATGGGATCTTCATTTAAAAAGCCCCCCCCAAATCTGAAGCCATTCAGTTGTGTAAGAACACATTTTACAAAGCCGTTTGGCCAAATTCAGCTCATTATGCCTGCATCTGTGTACCTGAAATGGGGCTGTGACCTGCTATTGTTCACATTAGTTTTCCTCTAGTTGTCTGCCCCGAAAGAGTCCAACAAATCAAACCCCCTTCTCTTCAGAAGAGGTTAATGCAGGAACCTGGGGCTAGTACCAATGACTTGCCTCATACAATTTTCTAAACAGAAGGCCTAAGTGGTGTTGACTGCCTGCAAATCCTGTCTGTTTCACTTGGGATCAGGGTCACTGTGATAAAGAATTAATCTCACATTTCCTAATTCAAAAGTCAGACTCCTAGGGTGGGATTTTCAAAAATGCCCCATGATAGCCTTCCTCTGCTCCCATCTTGGGCATTTTACTGTTGACTGCAGTGGAAACCGCTAAGCCAAGGGCAAGTGCTTTTGTGTATCCCACACATAATCTTTCTAGACAAATGTTTATCATTCTTAACTTCCCACGCTACTTGAGATGGGCCTCACCTTCCTGAAACCATAGAGTCCATGTGTTGAAAGTGACCTCGAGCTCTAGCTCCACCCCCTTGGAAGACTCCGTGAAGCATCTACTTTCCTACTTGTGCCAGATAGCCTCTGGTAGGAGATGCCCTCACAGAATTCACATAATGTTACTGGAGAAACCCCGGTGCTCAGTGCATGGGGCAAGTCTGTACCTAGGGTTCTGTGGTAGCCTAGATGCCAACAGGTTCCCAAAAGTGAAGGCTGGTAATATAAGACCAGGCTAGCTGGGTCTGACTATCCAGGTCCCTCAATAGAAGAATGGATGGGAAAATGAGTGTTTGCCCTATACAGCCTGGATGGCAGCAAAAACTTTCATAACTCCAGCCATCAAAAGAAAGGCTGCATGCATGATTCAGATGGGCTGTTGCTCTAGCCTCTAAGGCATACTAGGCCTGATCATGCTGGCACCATTGAGAAGGGGGAAGCTTGGCCATTACACGCCCCAAGGAATGCTGGTTGAGGGAAGAGTACAGCTCACTCAGGTTTTTCTGTTGTGCTGGAGGTTTGTGAGGCCCTCCACTGTGGCCATGGTACTTTGTGCAAGGCTGGGCTTCTCACAGGTGCAGAGGGGAGTTATGTGCCCAAAGCCAAGGAGATGTGGGAATTAAATGCTGACCTGGCTCCTGTGAGTATCCCAGCCTGAATGCTTCGATAAAGGTGAAAAACGTAACTCTCCTCAGAGCTGACAGGATTTCTGCTTAAACACTGACTCACCTGTTTTCCTAAAACAACAAAGCAGCTTTCCACACACAAAGCCACCCTTCATGGCAGCGGCCCTGCTGTGGGTGCACAACTCAGAGATTAAAGTGTAAGTGGCCCTCCCTGGAGGGGCAGTGTGGGCTGGCAGCTAGGCTAAGGGAATGGGAGCCAGAAATGTGAGTTCTAGTCCCAGCTGTGCAATACGCTTGCTGGGTGACCTTGGATAAGGTAGTTTAACATCTCTCCCTCCTCTTCTGTCCTGGTAACGTGGGGAGGCTGCTTACTTAACGAGTGGCCTGTGGCTTAAATCATAAACCGGGTCTGTCCTCGGTTAGCAATGCTACAGAAATGCATGTTATTAAAGGGCAGTCTGAATCCTCTCCTGCATATGATGCTTTGTCTACCCTTAGATCACAGTGCTTTGGGATAGTTTTGGGCTACTATAATATGCTGCCTATGGATCACTCCCCTGTTTTTAACATGCAGCTACTTCCAGGGTGGAACATGTCAGCAACACAAGTGAAGAATGAATTGTGCAGAGGGGCTTTAAGGTAGCAGAAAGTGATTAACACTCTTGACCAAATTCAAATTTGGGGTAATGTTCCTGCTCATGTCAGACGTGTCATGGGTGTTGTATGACCAGCTGTGAGTGGTGATGATCTCAGCCTTACCCCTGTGACCAGGAACACCAGCGCCGTTCTTTCTGTGCTTCCTCCCTCCATCCTGGCTGTAAGTTCAGCACTGCCAAGCGTTCTCCCACCCCCACCTACCCCCATCACTGTCCTACAGAGCCTGGGATTTCATTGGACATCTTCCCTCCAGCACCGATTAGGCCTCACCCTGGGTAAGCTTGAGATTTGACAAGCTCCCTGCCCATTGTGGCACACATGTAGGGTGCCAAGAATCCAGCTGTTTCTTCTTCTTCATCTTGACATCCCACTTTTGTTTCTTATGGAGTCTTTCCCCTCACATCTTATTCTTAAAATAGCCCAAGGCTGCACGTTCCCCTCAGATCTTCCATGAGGACTAGTCCTGTCCCCCTGCAAAGCAAGCAGCCAAATAACATCCTTCCCAGAGTAAGCACTCCCAGAGCACCCTGAATTTGCAGACAAAAAGCCACCCCAAAACTCTGGTGCATGCTGTTATCTTTAACAATCACCCATTTGAGGCTCAGCAAGGCCAAAGATCTGCTTGAGTCCCTCTCTCTCCCAATTCTTTCCCTGGTTCTTGTAGCAAGTGGGAGCCACATGCTCACCTTTATTACATGTGCGAATGAGCAAAATAGTAGAAAAAGCCCCTGAACACATGGCTTTTGATAGCAGAACTACTCTCCACTGGACATTCCCAAATGTGGCTGAGATATTTGAGTGGAGATCCACTAGGTTAGACTAGTAGTCATCCCCTTTTATCTCCCTTAGTGGGGAGAAGATGCTAGCCTAGAAGGGTTTGCTGGAGCCTGTGTGTTTTGAATAGCCAGGGGTAATAGAGCAGAGGATTAGGCTTTTCATAGTTATGCACTTTTTTTTTTGCGCAGGCTGCACCTATTATTTCCTGTGCGAGCCCCCAGATCCATCTCCATCTCCCAGGGAGACAGAACCAGGCAGGCAGACATTTGTAATAGAGTTTTCACTCTCCTCCAGAGGTTCCCCAGGCACAAAAGAGGGCATGTGATCCCAGGTTAGCCCATGAACTGTGCTGAGGGCCAACGGCTGCAGGGGAGGGGCATCTGTGTTTTATGCTAGAGCTAAGTGCAACCCATTTCCCTGCAAATGGCAGTGGAGGACATGGGGCCTTTTTAATATGTACATATAAAGGGTTACATGGAGGCCTATAGGAGGTGCTTGGAAATGACATGATCAAATGCCTTTGAATTGACAGGCACCAATAAAATAATGGCACTGTCTCCCCAAGTCCATTGCTTCTCAAGTTGTCTAACGTACTAATTAAAACCTGGTACTTGTAATTTATAACAGCACTGCTTTCTTCTCTGCTGATAAAAGAATTAAATCTACTCACATTTAACAGGTCCAATAAATACTGGGCTGAAATTTGATAACCATCATTGTTAAACTATAAAACTGATTTCCACATTTTAAAATCTAATTTATCTACTTTTTTAATTAACCCCCCCCCCCAAGCCTAAATTAACAGACTCCTTCACTGATAGGGAGAAAAAATGCTTTCTTTTCAGAAAACCTCATCTGTAAATCTTCATTTTTGAGTCTCTTATTATTATCTGGGCATTACCTCTTAGTTAGTTAGAGTGCAAAGAGCTCATTTTTTGAGATTGGGACTGTTAAAAAGTAAAAATTCTTCACATGAAATCCTCAGAAGATGAATTTACTATTTTTTTAAATCAAATGTTTTGACTCCTGCACTAAGCTATTAAAAAAAAGTGAATTGGTTTTATGTTCACATTTTAAGGCAACGTTAATAAACAATGATGCAAAAGTACATTCTTCATAAAAATAGAAACATAATTAACAGACAATTCAAACCTTGCTCTATAATGCCAGTAAAATACGAAACATGCAGACTGAAGGCAGTCAGAATGAAATCACCATCTTTTGGATGCACTTGTCAATTGCATCCTTTTTTGTGAACCGCAGCCTTCTCAAATCTAATTACCAGGCAGAGAAACATTGAGACAAGTGTTAAACTCTCTAATGTTCCAAACTCTTTCTGATTCTCTTCTGATGCAATCAAAATAAGATTATCCACAAGTCTCTTCAAAGGTTTGACTGTGCAAGTGAAGATGATTTAACTGTGATCACCCTCCTAGGTTCTTTTAATAAACAGTCATTCCAGTCCAATTATTTTTTGTGTGGAGGTGCCTGGGAATGAAATTTTCCATGCAAATCCCTTATTTATTATGAACACTTATTGCAAGTTTCTTCTGTATTTTTCCTGTTAAATTTTCACAGTGCCCTGAAGGATACCAAATGTCTCGATGTCAATTCCTTTTTCATGCTACAGTAGAGCTGTTTGATCTTCATGGATCTCTCTGTAAATCAGCCTTTATGCCATACAACATCAGCCTCTGTACTCACTACTAAGCCTTTCTTCCTGAATGCAGCTTCCATGAGGTCAAACACGTGCTTTGATAGGGTATTTAAGCGACTATTGGAATGATTAGCGATTATCTTTGAGAACTCATGGAGGACGGGTGAAGTCCCAGAGGACTAGAGAAGGTCAAACTTTGTACCTATCTTTAAAAAGGGGAACACAAAGGACCTGGGGAATTAGAGACCAGTCAGCCTAACTGCGGTACCTGGAAAGTTACTGGAACAAATTAGAAGTAGCTAACGATGAGTGAAGTAAGCCAGGCCCTGTCACTTTGCCTGGGGGCCAGGCTCTACAAAGCAGCCTATTAAAGCAGAGCAGAAGGGTTGCTCCACCTG